CAAATTCTTCTGCTAGTTGGGGTTTAGTCCAATTCTGCATCCTTTCCTTCAAGGCTCAGGGGTTCAAGATTATCTTCTGTGTCTGTGTTAATTGGTTTCCCTTTTCTTTGTTGAAGAGGGTCTGTGCGATCCTTCTGCCTTGTCCGCCATCTTGCCCCGCCTCTCTTATTTCTCATTTTTTTAAATTTTAATTTTGGTGAAAATGCACACAGCAGAACATACACCCATTCATCAGTTTCTGCATGGACAATTCAGTGACTTGGTTACATCCTTCACCTGTGTCTCCATTATCGTTATCCCTCCCTACGTTGGTTGACCACATTGACTTATAACACCAAACACCAGGCTACAGATAAACACATAAACACCTGAGAGGATCAGATGGGGGTCAGTGAACAGGAATATACTCTAGACCAAGGATAGATTCAGCTGAGACTAATCTTGCACAGACACCAGTGAATATGTGCAATCCTTACAGAAACAATAGAAGACAGACACAGAGTAATCCCTCACAGACACCCAGACACATGGGAGAGAGAGATCCAATAGATTTATACCATCTCAGGACCATAGTACGGGGAGGACACCAGACTCAATTGGCACAACAAAACACACAAAAGCATTGCTCCACATCCTACCTTGGTGAATAGTGACTGTGGTCTTAAAAGCTTTCAAGCGGCCATCTATAATGCAGCTAACAGCCTCCTAGCATCAGAAGCGAAGAAGAATGCAAAAAAAAAAAAGGGGGGGGCATTTGGAAGCAATCAACCCTAGGACATGATGGCCCTTGAGACCAGAAGAACTAGGTGGTGCCCGGCTACAAAGGCCAACCACTCAGGAAAGGATCAAATCTGGAGATCCTGAATAGAGTGGGAGGAAAAACATGGAACAAAATCCTAAAACTCAATAATGACCAGAATTACCGGTCAGATAAAATCTGATGAGACCCCTAATACTATGGCCCTGGAATACATTCTGCGCCTGGAATAAAACTCACCCCCAGGGACAGGCTCTCAGCCCAATAGTTAACAAGATGTACATGCAGACCACTCAACCCAGGATGACACACCCACATACTCTAGGGTAATACATCCCTTGGAGCAATGGACAATGGGGCACCAGAGGACCAACATTAAGATTGAGGAAATGCAGGACAAACAGGAGTGCATAAATATGAGGGGCACAGGAGGAGGATTACAGGGTAGGGAGGGGAGGAGACTGAGTTAGGGTTGGACATGGTAAATGGGGAATGAAACTAAATGTGCACATAACATTGAATGTAAACCAAGCTCTTAAAATAAAAAATAAAAGGATTCAATCAAAACAATAAATTGAAAAAAAAAAAAAGCTGACTTCAGGGGGTCATTTCAGTTCAGTGTTTGAAGATTTTCTCAGAGTAATTGATTCAAGAGATCTTCCAGTCTTACTAGATCTATTAAGTCTGCATTCTGTCAGAATTTGAAATTCTGTTCCATGTTTTTTCCCCTTTTGATCAGGATTCATCTATTGATTCCTTGATCAAAATGTTGAGTCATGGTAGCCTGGCACCATCTAGTTTTTCTGGTCTCATGAGTAAGGAGGCAGTAGTTCATGAAGGCAATTAGACCTGTGGTCCAGTTTCTTCTCTAGTTCCTGGGTCTCCTTCTGCATTTGCTGCTCCAGGAATAGAGACCAATTTTTGTATCTTGGATAAAGAGAGATTTTTATTATATTTTTTTCCTTATATTTTTGGAGTCCCTGGGTGGTACAAATGGTTACTGTGTTTGGCTGCTAACCAAAAGGTTGGAAGTTCAAGTCCACCTGGAGGCACCTTGGAAGAAAGTCCTGGTGATCTGCTACCAAAATATCAGCCACTGAAAACTCTGTGGAGCACAGTTCTACTCTGATGCACATGGGGTCACCATGAGTTGGAAGCAATTCAGTAGCAACTGGATTCTTTTTCTTATATTTAGTAAGTACCCTTCTACACACCCTTCTTCACTTTTTTTTGGTAGTTAGTTCTAGGAGTTTTGACAAACACATGTAATCACTACCACTGCAATCAAGATACAGAACAGTTCTATCACCCGAAAATATTTCCCTATATCCCTTTATAGTTATTCCCTCCTTCTGCCCTCAGCCCTTGACAGCTGCTGACCTGTAGTCTGTCTGTAGGCTTGCTTGTTCCAGAATGCTATATAAATGGAATCAAACAGTAGCCTTTTGAGTGTGGCTTCTTTCACTTAGCGTAATGCATGTGAGGTCCATCCATGTGTAGTAGTTGATTCTTTTTCATTGCTGAGTAGTAGCACTGGTGGTGCAGTGATTATAGCATTCAGCCGCTAACCAAAAGGTCAGTGGTTTGAACCCACCAGCTGCTCAGCAGGAGAAAGATGTGACAGTCTGCTTCTGTAAAGAGTTACAGCTTTGGAAACCCTACGGGGCAGTTCTGCTCTGTCCATAGGGTCACTATGAGTTTGAATTGACTTACCAGCAGTGTGTTATTTTTGGAATAGTACTCCATTGTATGGATGTACCACCATTTGCTCATCCTTTCCCCAGGTGAGGGGCATTTGAATTGTTTCTAGTTTTTGTCAATTTATGAATAAAGTTGCTATAAACATTTGCGTATGGGTTTTTGTGGAAACTAAGTTTTCATTTCTTTTGGATAAACGTATGAGTGGGATTGCCAGGTTGTGTGGTTAGTGTACATTTAACTGTGAAAGAGAGTACCACCCATTTTGTCATTTGATTGCACCATTTGGCAAATTCCAGCTACTCAGCCTCCTCATCAGCATGTGGTATTGTCAGTTTTCTTTAGCCCTTCTATTAAGTGTGCAGCACAGACTTGGTCTTTCTGAAAAAATGAGTTTGCCTCTATTGAAAAGCAGTGTGCATGATTAAAAAATGAAAACCAACAGGTGCTGGTGAGGCTGTGGAGAAGTTGGAACTCACTTCCATTGCTAGTAGTAATGTAAAATGGTAGAGCCACTACATAAAACAATTCTTCAGAAAGCTAAACATGGAACTACCATATGATCCAGCAATTCCACTCCTAGATAGATACCCCAAAGAATTGAAAGCAGGGACTCAGAGACTTATACACCCATGTTCACTGCAGCCCTTTTCACAACTTTCCACAAAAGGTGAAATCTGAATGAGCACCAACAGGTGAATGGATAAACAACGTGGTCCATCTGTACAGTGGGATACTGCTCAGCCATAAAGATAAATGAAATCCTGAACATGCCACAACACGGATAAACCTTGACACCATTATGCTGAGTGAAAAAGTCAGTCACAAAAGGACAAATACTGTATGATCCCAATTATATGAGATATCTAGAGTAGGTAAATGTACAGAGACCAAAGTTTACTAGTGGTGACTGGGGGCAGGAAGAAGGGGGCCATAGGAGAATTGTCATTTAGAGGACACTGAGCTTTTGTTTGGGGGCATGGTATACTTTGGGAACAAATAAAGGTGATGATTGAACATGATGTACATAATTAATGTCACTTAACTCTCCACGTGCAGACTATTAAAATGTCAAATGTTTTGTTACATTATATTCACCACAATTTAAAAAAAGAAGAAGAAGAAATAAAAGCATCTGCAGACTTCCAACTGAACATTCAGTTGAATTGGTTAGCTCTGGTGGGAGGGGTGGCTTGTGGCCTGACCTCCCACTTGTTCTCTCTCCTGCCTCAGGTTACATGACCAGAAGGCTGGATTCCTGCTGATGCCCTCAGCTCTGTGTCATAGCTGGTGGCAGGGCCAATGCAGTGGCCCATCCCAGCACACCCTCAGGTGCATCTCCTCAGGGGCCCTGCGATTGGAGGAGAACTCAACTGCTCCTTCCCTTCACCTCTCCTCAGGCCTACATCCAGATCATATTTGTGGAGCCCTACCTCAATGAGTAGGAGCTCTGGTAGCATAGTGGCTAAGACACTTGCCTGCTAACCAGACGGCTGGCGGTTCAAACCCACCAGCCACTCCTCGGAAGGAAGGTTGGGCAATCCTACTTCCGTAGTGATACTGCCTCGGAAACCCAAGGAGGGGTCGCTGTGAGTCAAGGCCGACTCGATGGCACATAACAACAACAACAACAACACTTCAATGAGTATGAGATCAAAGACAGGATGAACTACTTTGAGAACACCCTCAACTTGCAACAGTTCATGTACCCAATGCCCTTCACTCTGGAGGGGCAGTCCCACGGTGAAGTGCAGGAGTAGCACCAGCAGAGCAGTCTTCACTACCGTGCACACCTTCCCCTGCATCAAGACCTGCATTGGCGTCCAGAAGGAGGAGGTAATGGCGTCTGCAGAGCAGGCTCTAGCAAGTGGCCGGGTGACTTCCCAGCATGACCACAAATCTGGTGGCCTGGCATGGAAGTGTGGAAAGGGACACAATGAAATGTTAGGATGCTATCTTCTCATTCCCATTGTGGCAGGCGTCCCATTTAAAACCCAAAGCCCTGTGGCCATGGACTCTGTCTCAACTCACAGCAACTCCATGTGCAAGTAGAACCGCCCCAAAGGGTTTCCTAGGCTGTCATCTTTTCTGAAGCAGATAGCCGGGCATTTCTTCTGTGGCACTGCTGGGTGGGCCATCCTTTCAGCAAGTGTAATACCATGCATAGGGAAAGTGTCTCGAACCACACAACCAGTAGCCAAAAGCAAACTGTTTTTGCCACCCAGAGACCTGGAATCCCTTTTGGGCAGCTACATATTCTATGGCATAGTTATATGTTTAAATATTTCATATGTTAAACACATATACTTTATATAAATACACAATTATAACACATAATATTGGATGTTTATATATGTAATTGGAGTCCCTGGGTGGTGCAAATGGTTAACCCGCTCAATGGCTAACCAAAAGGTTAGACGTTTCAGTCCACCCTGAGGCACCTCAGAAGAAAGGCTTGGCGATCTCCCTCCGAAAAATCAGCCATTAAAATCCTAGGTTTTCAGAACTGTGTCTGTGGAGCATAGGTCTGCTCTTACACACGTGAGGTCACCATGAGTCAGGGTCAACTCAATGGCAGCTTTTTTCTTTTTAGTGACTGCTAACCAGAAGGCTGGCGTTCAAACCCACCAGCCACTCCTCAGAAGGAAGATGGGGCAATCTACTTCCGTAGTGATACTGTCTCGGAAACCCAAGGAGGGGTCGCTATGAGTCAGGTCTGACTCGACAGCACATAACAACAACAACAACAACTTATTTACATTTTAAGGTTTTTCTTTTTCTATGAAATTTGTATATATTTAGAAGTGCCCAGGTGATTCAAGCGTTGTTGTGTTATTAACTATTAGGGACAAGAGCAGCCAGTGAGCAGTCCCCAGGGACAAAGTGTGCTGTAGGAAGGGCTCCATGCATGATGAACATGATGACTGGCCGAGTTTACTCCCAACTTCATCCTGGGACCTTGTACAAGCCACTTATCTTCAGTTTCCTCATCCATGGATTGATAGGAAGGGCCCCTGTTGCTTCTCCAATTTTATGTACAATGGAGGACTCTCAGCAAGTGTAATACCATGCATAGGGAAAGTGTCTCAAACCACACAATCATTCAAAATTACACAGACCACAAACATTTTATTTTACATTAAAACACATGCCAGGTAACCACTGACCCTCGAGTGGACTCCAACTCACGCCGACCCCATGCGTGTCAGAGCAGGGCTGTGCTCCACGGGGTTTTCAGAAGTAGATCACCAGGCCTTTCTTCTGAGCCATTTCTGGGTGAACTCGAACCTCAACCTTTTTGGTTAACAGCTGAGCACGTTAATGATTTGCACCACAAGAAACTCCTAAAACACATCCATGTGCATGTATTTGTAATCCTTTTTATACAGGGCTACAGCCTTCTCTGTGATTATGGGCCCACTGTCATAGCTCAAAGAAACCCAGGTAGCACAGTGGTTAAGCACTCAGCTGCTAACTGAAAAGTTGGCAGTTCAAACCCACCAGCCACAGTGTGGGAGGAAGATGAGCTAATCTGCTTCTGTAAAGATTTACAGCCTTAGAAACCCTAGGAGGCAGTTCTACTCTGTCCTATAGAATCAACTCTATGGCAGTGGGGGTTTTTTGGTTTGGTCACAACGCAGCATTGTCTTTCTTGTATAAACCATATTCATGATGCATGTCTCTGATTTTTAGTTTTTGTTTCTATAAAACAGAGTGAGAGCTTCAAGGTACTTGCTAAACATAAGAGCAGGATCCTCCTAGATATGAATGATCCCCCGATCCTTGCCAGCTGTCTTGCTCACACCTAATATAACAGGAATCTTTATAACGTCCCACCCAAACATTCCACTTGGTTTTCATAGACCAACTCTTTCCACACCCATAGTCCATCAGTTTATACATGATTTAATTAGATTAGGTCATTGTAATAACAAGTGTAACTGACAGTCAGGTTGGTGAACAAACACGATGGGCCTTGGGAAATCTCCACCTCATTGGGTGGGAGCAGAGATGATTGAGCTTATGGGAGAAGCCACCAGCTGAGGGGTCAGCAGCCAGCAGCCTTTGAGGGGACTCTCATGGAAGCTAAAGGAAGCCCAAGCTAGGGAGTGAGATACAGCTTGGTTGAGAAGGTGTCTGCTGTATTTCTTATTGTTTTAGACTTTTAACATTTGGACATTCTACACATAGCACAGAAATAAACTCACATTCTCAAAATGTATCTTCACAGCTTTTCTCAGTCCCAAAATGTATCTTCCTACCTTTTATTGGCCATCTGTTGTTCTCCCAGAACTTGAGGGAAGGTCCTACCCCAAACCAGCAGACCTTAGCAACTGGCAGATCAGCCCTTCAGAGCACTGTTTACCAGGAATTCCCTTTCAGGTTGAGTTGGAAGCACCAGGGAAGCCACAAGTTGTGTCATGGTAGGGAGAGAATCTTGAGTGTTGGGCTTCTAACAACTCCCTCAAGTGAGTGTCTATTAACATGTTCATAGCAGAAGGAAACCTACCTACCAGTGTGGAAAGAGCAGGGGCTTTCAGCTTAGAGATAAATGTGATCAAATTCTGGCCCCCCCACTTACTAACTTAATTGTTAGTTGCTGTCTACTCAGCCTCTGATCCATGGCACCGCCATATGTTACTGAGCAGAACTACTCCATGCGATTTTCTTGGTTTTAATCTTTACGGAAGCAGTTCACCAGGCCTTTTCTTCCATGGAGCTGCTGGGTGGGTACAAACTGCCAACCATTGGCCCACCCAGACTCCTTGGAACTTATTTAGCCTTACCGATTCCTGTTTAACTGTAAGTGGAGAGAATTATGAGGTTGTTTAAAGAAGTGATAACTGTATGCATAGTTTCTGGAATATAAGAACTATTTAAGAAATGCTAGTCCTATCTCTCCTCTTTAAACTATTTAGGTCATTCCAAATTACTCTAAAAGCCTTTCCTTACCTGCTTCCTCAAATCCAGGTACCTGCTATGTCATAGCTCCAAATGTGACCATCACTTATGAGCTAAGACAATGACTTCCTTACATTTGTGTTTCATTTCCAGTTTGTGTTCACACCAGTGGAAGTTGCCATTGAAGATATGAAGAAGACGACCCTGCAGTTAGTGGTTGCCATTAATCAGGAGCCACCTGATGCAAAGATGCTTCAGAAGGTGCTACAAGGCTCATTGGGAGCTACTATGAACCAGGTATGGAAAACCAGCTGGGGCCAACTCCTCTGCTTCTCATGATTTGAGTTATCAGTGAACCTCTACACCCCTCCTTCCTTGGGGTTGACTAGGAGTCCAAGCCACATGCAAATGATGTTCCTACATTGAGATTGAACATGTGTGAGATTTAGAAGACCTGTAGAGGCCTTCATGGGATTCAAGATAGACTGGGACTCCTAGAGATGAGGGGACTAGGTCTCAGGAGCTACATCTTCCCAGAGGTCAGTTCCAGATGATCTCAGTGCCAGGGATTGCTAAGCAGGAATGATCATCCCTGTGATAGCAGCCAACCTCAGCTGACTGGGCTTCTTGAGCTACTTTAGACCAGGCTGGCTCTTCCCAGACTCCTTAGAGTCCTAACTCCTATGCTCATCATAGAACAAAGCCAGTCTCAGGTGGACAGAGGAGCTAGCCTTAATTTTCTGTCCAGTGGACCTCCTTGGTTTCTTGTCCAGGCCAGCTCTTGTCCACACATGCCCATGCAGAATTTAAATGAGCCTGTGACTCTGTTCACTCAGCACAAGTGGATTTCCCGACAAAAATTCTGAGCCCACTTAACATTAAGGGAGCAGAAATAGCAGAGAAGAGAAGTGACTGTTTCCCGAGTTAGAAGAAATTAGGAAGGTCTTGCCTTGAAAGTCACAATCCTTTGATGAAAATAGAAGACTTGACAAGACCTCAACCATGCTCAAAGCCAGCCCTGGGATCAGAGGAAGTGGGTGTTTGCCCTGGGTGCAGGCCAGGTAAGTGAGCAGAGTGGGGGAGACCAGGAAATGAGCAGAGCAGTTTAGAATAGCTAGGGAGGACAAACTTGTCTGTCAGTTTGTTCTACTGTGGTGGCTTGAGTGTTGTTGTGAGGCTGGAGGCTATGCCACCAGTATTTCAAATACCAGCAGGTTTACTCATGGTGGACAAGTTGCAGCAGAGCCTCCGGACTAAGACAGACTCAGAAGAAGGAAGAGACCATCTACTTCTCAAAGAATTGGCCAGTGAAAACATTACGAATAGCATTTAAACATTGTCTGATATGTTACCGGAAAACTGTATGAATAGCCCTAAAACATTGTACAATATAGTGCCAGAAGATGAGCCCCTCAGATCAGAAGGCACTCAAAATATGACTGGAGAAGAATTGCCTCTTCAGAGTAGAGCCGCCATTAATGATGTGGATAGAGTAAAGCTTTTGGACCCCCATTTGCTGATGTGGCACATCTCAAAATAAGAAGAAATAGCTACAAACATCCATTAATAATCGGAACATGGAATGTATGAAGTATTAATCTAGGAAACTTGGAAGTAGTCAAAAATGAAATGTAATGCATAAAGATCGATATCGTAGGCATTAGTGAGCTGAAATGGACTGGTTTTGGCTATTTTGAATCAGACAACCATATGATCTACTATGCCAGGAATGACAAATTGAAGAAGAATGGCATGGCATTCATCATCATAAAGAATGTACCAAGATCTATCCTGAAGTACAATGCTGTCAAAAACCAAAACCAAATAATACCCATATGCCTACAAGGAAACCAGTTAATACTACTATTATTCAAATTTACACACCAACCACCAAAGCCAAAGATGAGGGAATTGAAGATTTTTCCAACTTCTGCAGTCTGAAATTGACCAAACATGCAATCAAGGTGTGTTGATTATCACTGATGACTGGAATGCAAAAGTTGGAAACAAAGAAGAATTGCTGGTAGTTGGAAAATACGGCCTTGATGATAGAAATGATGCTGGAGATCGCATGATAGAATTTTGGGAGACCGACAACTTATTCATTCAAATAATTTTTTTCAACAACACAAATGATGGCTATACATGTGGACTTCATCAGATGGAAACACAGGTATCACATTGACTACATCTGTGGAAAGAGGCGATGGAAAAGCTCAATATCTTCAGCCAAAACAAGGCCAGGAGCTGATTGTGGAGCAGACCATCAACTGCTCATATGCAACTTCAACTTGAAGCTGAAGACAATTAAAACAAGTCCACGAGAGCTAAATTATGACCTTGATTATATCCCTCTTGAACTTAGAGATCATCTAAAGAATAGATCAAATGCATTGAAAACCAATGACCAAAAACCAGAGAAATTGTGGGATGAGATCAAGAACATAATCCATGAAGAAGGCAAAAGGTCATTAAAAACACAGGAAAGGAAGAAAAGACAAAAATGAATGTCAGAAGAGACTCTGAAACTTGTACTTGAATGTTGATAAGCCAAAACAAAAGGAAGAAATGATTAATTAAAATAGTTGAACTGAAGATTTCAAAGTGCAGCTTGAGAAGAAAAAGTCAATTATTATAATGAAATATCCAAAGACCTGGAGTTAGAGAACCAAAAGGGAAGAGCACACTCAACATTTCTCAACTGAGGAAAAAATTTATGCTTCAAATTGCAATATTGGAAGATTCCATGGGCAATATGCTGAATGATGCAGAAAACATCAAAAGAAGATGGATGGAATACACAGAGTCGCTGTACCAAAAAGAATTGGTAGGTGATCATCCGTTTCAGAAGGTGGCATATGATCAAAAACCAATGGTGTTGAAGGAAGAAGTCAAAGCTGCACTGAAGGAATTGGTGAAAAACAAGGCTCCAGGAATTGACAGAATACCCATTGAGATGCTTCAACAAACAGATGCTGCACTGGAGGCACTCACTCAGCTATGCCAAGAGATTTGGAAGACAGCTACCTGGCCAACTGACTGGACGAGATCCATATTTGTACCAGTTCCAAATAAAGGTGATCCCACAGAATGTGGAAATTATCTAATAATATCATTGATATCACACCCAAGTAACATCTTACTGAAGACAATTCAAAAACCATTGCAGCAGTATATTGTCAGAGAACTTCCAGAAATGCAAGCTGAATTCAGAAGGGGATATGGAGTGAGAGATACCATAGCTGATATCAGATGGATCCTGGCTAAAATCAAAGAATACCAGAAAGATGTTTACTTGTGTTTAATTGACTATGCAAAGGAATTTGATTGTGTGGATCGTAACAAATTGTGGTTAACATTTAGAAGAATGGGAATTCCATAACACTAACATAATTGTACTCATGAGGAACTCATGTACATAGACCAGGAGGCTGTCATTCGAACAGAACAAGGGAATACTGCATGATTTAATATCAGGCAGGGAGTACATCAGGATTATATCCCTTCACCATATTTATTCAATCTTTATGCAGAGCAAATAATCCCAGAAGTTGGATTATATGAAGAACGTGGCATCAAGATTGGAGGAAGGCTCATTAATAACCTGAGATATACAGATGACACAA